CTCCGCCGAGCTTTGCTGGTATCCAAGATGGAGATCACCGGTGCTGGGGGGGGGGAGGGGTGGCCTTCCCTCCTCTGCTCCCTGAGAAGGAGGGCTTCTACTCATGCCAAGTCTTGGATCCTGGGTCGTCTCTGGTCTGCAAACTGCAGGATGAAGATGTCCGCTCCTTGTTGGTTCTTGCTGGTGTTGAGTAGAATCCACTCGCCCGCTGAGTCTGACTCCTTTGTCCCGGGCTCTCTGTGACTCAGGTATGGCTGCAGCCGCCGCTGGGACCCTGCCGCCGCCACGGCGGTTGCTGGCAAGCGCTCAGATTGGCTTCCCCTCTGTTGCCTAACTCTCTGTCCTGTGATGGCACACTTGGTGTGATTCTCTGGCTTAGGACTGTTCACTGGAACTCTAAAACTGCTTTCTATGTGAGAGCTTGTTCAGAATCCAGCTTCTCCTCCGCCATCTTCCCGGAACTCTGACCTGTCTCACCAGTTCTAAGCACCATTTTCTTGATCTCCTGCAGGCCATTCTATGGGCCCTTGTGTGATCTTATTTTTAATATATATTGAGCATTTCTAATCCAAAACACCCTTAAACATCTTTTAGCACCAACATGATTCCAGAAGAAGATAATTCCACACCTGACCTCAGGTAACTGGTCACAGTCACACACAAGTGTAGTAGGCACTAGTGGCTGACACCTGTAATCCTAGCTTCTCAAGAGGCTGAGATCTGAGGATCATGGTTCCACACAAGCCTGGGCAGAAAAGTCCATGAGACCGTTATCTCCAATTAACCAGAAAAAAGCTGAAAGTGGAGATGGGAGAGTGCCAGCCTTAAGTGAAAAAGCTAAAGGACAGTGCCCAGCCTTGAGGTAAGGCCCCAGACTGAAAAAAAGCACTAAATTCCTGTACACACTTATCCTCATGCCATATAGTGTTCATGAAGCATAGACAAATTTCATGCTCGGTCTTGGGTCTCTCATCTCAAGATACCTCATTGTGTATATGCAAATATTCCCAAGCCTGAAATACAATGTGAGATCCAAAATACTCCTGGCCCCAAGAATTTTGGAGAAAAGATACTGAAGCTGTGAACTTTTCTTCCTGTCATTAAATGTCTTCCTTTAGCCCATGGGGAGGGAGATTAAAAAAAGAAAAAGAAAAAGAAGCCGAAAATACAAAGCCAGATGTCAGTAGATCATGCATGTAACCCTAGCTACTCAAGAGGCTGAAACTAAGATTACAGTTCAAAGCCATTCTGGCAGGAAAGTCCATGAGACTACTGTCTCCGATTAACCACTCAACAAAAAGCTGGAAGTGAAATGTGGTTCAACTGGTAGAACACCAGCTTTGTGCAAAAATAAAGCTAAGGGACAGTACCTAGGCCCTGAGTTCAAGTGCCAGGATGAGCACAGGAAAAGAAAGAAGGAAGGAAGGAAGGGAGGGAGGGAGGGAGGGAGGGAGAGGGGGGAGGGAGGGAGGGAGGGAGGGAGGGAGGGAGGGAGGGAAGGAGGGGAAAAAATCACTGAAATACAAACTAGCAGGAATAAGCCAACACAATCACACAGCACCCATGATGTATCGACAGTTTCAAGTGTCATTTGCATTGAGAGACAAGTAGAAATTCAGCCATCCCATTTACAACAGACATACAATTTCAAGTGTTCAATCTTCCAAAAAGTAGGGCATGTGCACAAATATGCTCCTTACCGCTTCTATGATGACCGAATATGGCGTTCTGCCTGTGAAGACAAAGCCCAACTTCTTAGCTCCTTTCACCAAAGCAGCCTCATCTGTCAATAGGAAGTTGGTCAAATGCAGACAAATCCCATCATAGAAATTCTGTTGTGTTATTTTCATATAAACAGTCACCAGTGGCTCACACCTGCAACCCTAGCTACTGGGGAAGCTGTGATCTGAGTGAAAATCATGGTTCAAAGTCAGCCCAGGCAGGAGAGTATAAGGAATTCTTATCTCAATTAACCACCAACAAATAAATAAACAGAAGTGAAGTTATGGCTCAAGTGATAGAGTGCCAGCCTTGATGGAAAGAGCTAAGGGACAGTGCTCGGGCCCTGAGTTCAAGCCCCAGTAAAGGCATACACACATACACACAAAATAAACAACACCATGATTAAGGAAGCTTGACATTCTCAGCACAGTAGAAAGGGCATAGAGGTAAGTATATTCACTCTTCCTAACACCAGAGTTGAAATGAGGGCTTCTGCTAGATAGGAGAACTCAAACCCTAACCTAATTCACTAAAAGAATGATTTACACTCATTCTAGTCTTTTTTATCTTTGGGAGGGGGGAAGAGTACTGTTTTTGCCTTATCTTTAAGTGGTTGTACAAAGGGGATTAAATTAACATGACAGTTTATGAGTACAATTCGTCTTGATCAATGTCACTCCCTCCATCTTTCTCCCCCATCCCTCTCAAACACCTGCTATTCTTGGTTAGGATCAAGTTCTCTCTAAACAATGTAAGTAAAAATTCCTACAGACTAAATATCTCTGATCAAGGCCATGCTTTGACTCCATATATGATCAGAGTCCCAGGAGGTGGCAAAGAGTAACACAGCTTATCCATGACATGTGGCAGATGAGAAAAGGAGCTGGCCATGATCTCTCCTGAAAGCTCTGTCTAGTCCAATAACTTCTAGGAAAGTCAAGGTGGTCTGAGACTTCCCCCACTATCAAGGAGCCATGATCTGGGCACTAGTGGCTCACACCTATAATCTTAGCTACTGGGGAGCTGAGATCTGAGGATCTCAGTTCAAAGGCAGGAAAATCTGTGAGACTTCTATCTCCAGCTAATTACCAAGTAAAATGTGGGAAGTGGAGCTGTAGCTCAAGTGGTACAGTGCTAGCCTTGAGCACAAAAGCTTAGGAACAGCACCCAGGTCCTGAGTTTAGGATCCAAGACTGGCACAAAAAAAATGAATGAATGAATAAATAGCTATTAGAATCAGGAGAGCTCAATGCAAGCTATCTTGGGTTTGAACTTTTGTAACCATGATATGGAGATGGTGTGAAACAAGAGGCAAATATGGGGGGAGGAGCAAGTAGAGGGGGAAAGTGACTGTACCTCATTTCCCACATGTAACTCAAATACCCAAGTCTCCAGGGAAAAGGCTAGCAGGGCAGAGCCACTGGGAACCTCACCTGGAGAAGAGGCCTGGTAGATGATATCGTCTCCATCCTTCTCAGGAACCACAGTGTGGCACACAGCCAGCAAGGTGAGGAACTCCTGAATGCAAGGGGCTGTGGGCTGTAAAACAGAAGACTGAGTTAGTATGACAGTTACAATGCTGCTTGACACACATCAGAGCTGGACTCAAGTTGTCACCTCCTTAAAATCCAGGAATGGGGGAGTGGAAGGTGACTCAGTGGTAGAGTGTTTTCCTTGCATGCATGAGGCCCTGGGTTTGATTCCTCAGTAGTACATAAACAGGAAAAGCTGGAAGTGACACTGTGGCTCAAGCAGTAGAGCTGAAAAGCTGAGGACAATGCCCAGGCCCAGAGTTCAGGCCCCACAACTGACAAAAAAAAATCCAGGAATGGGCCAAGTGCTAGTGGCTCACCCTTGTAATTCTAGCTGCTCAAGAGGCTGAGATCTGAGGATCACAGTTTGAAGCCAGCCGAAGCAGGAAAGTCCATGAGACTCTTAGCTAAAAGGAACCACCAAAAGCTGGAAGTATAGCTGTGGCTAGCCTTGAGCAAATAATGCTCAGGGACAGTGCCCAGGCCCTGAATTCAAGGACCAGGAGTAGAAAAAAAATCCAAAAATGGTCCCCAACTCCCTGTCACACAGGGTCCAGATCTTACATCAGGTGCCCAAAACCTGACAACAGCTTCCCACCTAACCCACCTCCTGCCACTGTGGACTTCAAACAAGGCATGTCTTTTCCCCATCTCTTCACCATGGCCTTCCATCTGCTACTACAGGCTCTCCAGTTCACTTGGCCCTTGGGCTTCAGTCACTTTCCCTGGGAAGCCCATATTCTGTGACTCGGCATGGCAAATCAGGAAACAGCCAAGCACAATCTCCTGCCTTCTTGAAACTTCCATAGCTCCCAGTCCTGCTCCCATCTCACAATCCCCATGCTCCTGCACCTCACCAGCAAGATTCTGGTGGCTAAAAAGGTTACCTGTTTTCCACACAGATGTAACCTCAGGGCATCTCAAAAAGAAGACATTCCAAAATATATTTTTTATCATCCTGTGCTGGCTTATATTCTACAACATGTCTCACTTATGCCTGTATAATAAACACCTGAAATGCAGGACATCCAGCACTCTACATATAAAAATAATAATCAAAAGTGTCCTAGATATGTATTTAATCACTTTCTCCAGACAGACAGACAGACAGACAGACAGACAGACAGACAGACAGACAGACAGACAGACAGATAGATAGATAGATAGATATTGTGTGTGAGGGAAAGAGGAGAGAGAGACAGACAGACAGAGAGGGAGAGAGAGAGAGAGAGTAGTGAGGCTTGAACCCAAGGCCTGGGTGCTGTCCCTTAGCTTTCTCATTAGAGGCTGGCATTCTACTACTACTTGTACTACAGATACACTTCTGGCTTTTTGCTAGTCAATTGGAAATAAGAGTCTTGTGGATTTTGCTGTCTTGGCTGGCTTCAAACTGCAACCCTCAGATCTCAGCCTCCTGGCTAAAGATTATAGGCATGAGCTACTGGCACCATTCTATTCTTCTTAAAAAGCAAAAAATTCCTGAAATTTTAAGCAGAATCTAAGAATACATCATGCCATCCCAATTATTAAAGGTTTTTAAATTTTATTGACACAGGACCTATATCTTTTGTGTGTCTCGGGGAGAGGGGTATGTAAATGTGTATATGTGTGTGTTTGTGAGAACTGGGGCATAAACTCAGCCTGGGCAGTGTCCCTGAGGTTTTTTGCTCAAGGCTAACACTCCACTGCTTGAGCCACAGCTCTACTTCTGTGTGTGTGTGTGTGTGTGTGTGTGTGTGTGTGTGCACGCGCGCGCGTGTATGTGTGTGCATGTGCGTGTGTGTGTGCACCAATCCTTTGGCTTGAATTCAGGGCCTGGGAACTGTCCTTGAGCTTTTTTTTCCTCAAGGCTGGCACTCTTACCCCTTGAACCACAGCTTCACTTCCAGCTTATTTTGGGTGGTTAACTGGAGATGAGAGTCTCACGAACTTTCCTACCTGGGCTGGCTTTGAATTACAATCCTCAGATCTCAGCTTCATAAGTATCTGGAATTACAAGTGTGAGCCATTGGTTCCTAGTGATATATCTTAATTTTCATTTGCTCCAAAAACTTGAGTGAGTCACCGTCTGTGATCCACTATGTTCAATAAAGTTTGGGACTGTAGATTTGGTTTAGGCACCTACACAGACTATCATCAGAAGAAACCTCAGAAATGTTAGGAGCTTAATCTCATAATTGAGGCTGCAAGAAACCAAATGCCAATTAACTAATTAGGCTGTGGCCATAAGTAATTAAGCTATAACAAGCTGGTTGGCTAACTAATTTGTAGCCAGTGAAGTTGTTTCCTTGTCTCACCTCTGTTTCCTTATAAATATTGTCTTCCTATCTTCCTTCATCTTCCCTCCTTTTCTCCCTCTGTCTCTCCCCCTATCTCTCTCCTTTCTTCCTTCCTTCCTTTCCCTTTCTCTCTCCCTATATCCTTCCTCCTTTCCCTACCTCCATCACCCTCCCTTTCTTTTTGCTTTAATTCAAGAACTATGCATGTACGTATATCTATCTACATCTTAGAAGTTCTGGGTTTTTCATTGTTCACATTTTATTATGTATGTTCATTCATAACATGCTCATCAGTACATGTAATGCTTATCATTTTCACAATTCTTAAGTGTACAATTCAGTGGCATTAAATATAGTCAAAATGCTGAACCTATCACAACCCAAAACTTTTAAATCATCCCTTACAGAAACTCTGTACCCATTAAAACATGACTCCCATCTTCATCTTCTGCTTCCCTAGAATCCTAGTAGCCTCCCCTCTTGTTTCTATGAATTTACCATTTGTGTATATTCCATATCAATGAAATCATACAGTATTTACCAATTACTCACTAACTTTTAAATAGACACAAAATGCTAAATGCCTAGAAATGAATGTTTTCTATTTGTAACTAACAAAAAAATCTTCTACATTTCTGAAATTGTTTTGTATAACAAATTGCAGCCACAAAGTATTTTAGTAATGTATAGATTAAAAAAGAATTTTCCTAGCCTCAAGCCTGTAATTCTAGCTACTTGGGAGGCAAAGATAAGGGAATTGCAGCTGGAAGCCAGCCTAGGGAGCAGGGGGATTTCACTGGAGAACCTACATCTCAACCAATGGTTGAGAGCAGTGGTGGCATCTGCATCTGTCATCCCAGCATCAGGAGAAAGCACAAGTAGAAGGACTATAGTCCAGACATAAAATGAAACCCTACTGCTGAGTGTTGGTGGTTCATGCCTATAAATGTAGCTATTCACAAGGATAATTCCAAGCCAGCCTGGGCCGGAAAAATCTGTGAAATGGAAGTGTTGCTGAAGTGATAGAGCACTAGTCTCGAGGAAAATAGCTCAGAGACAGTGTTCAGGCCCTGGCACCAAAAAAAGTGAGACCTTATCTCAAAAATAACCAACCCAAAAAAGGACTAGGGGAATGGCTCAAGTGATATAGCACCTACTTAGTAACTACAGACTCTTGAGTTCAATATCTAGTACTGAAAAAAAAATTCTTAAAGGTTCAAACTCACGAGTCTGTGGCATAATGACTCTGAAGAGAGTTTCACTGTGTCTCTGCCTTGAGCACAAAAGCTCAGGAGCAGCACCCAGGTCCTGTGTGAATGTATCACACAAACCTGAGTCTCTGGTGAGTAATGCAATCAATCAACTGCAATAATTGTCCTTTGAAATCTTCTATAGGTGATTTTCTGACTAAAAGCCAAATCTTATCCTGGCAATCAGCCCAAACAAGATTTACAACAGGACCCAGAAAGGCAGAAGTGATAACCTAGAAAGAAAAAGGGAAATCCTGCAGTACATGGAAATCTTCCCTTGGGAAGAGAGTAAGGGTTTTCTCAGGTCAAATGCTTTAATTTTCCTCTATGATCCAAGACAATCAGGATGAAATGTGGGACATGCATAACTGAATATCCTCAAATGGTTCTTCTGTCTCCCCACCTATATTTTGGCCCAAAAAAATGAGCAAGTGGTCTAATAGGCCCTGTGTTTAAAACTGCTGAAAACATCCATTGTGTAAATTAAATCCAACACCAAGTCTTCCAACAGAAAAATACTGAGCTATATTCTTCCTTATTTATAGTGAAGGAAAACGTTAAATGTGAAAGGGCTTCATTAATGCAGTAGCATGGATGAAGAAGGTCTCAGAAGGCTTTACAGATCCAAAAAGCATAAAAATATTATACCTAGGCAAGTAAGCTTTGGCTAAAAAATAGAAAATAAATTCCCAAATCAATGATGTTGTTGTACTTTTACTGAACTGTGAGTATACAGATTATTTAAATACCCCAACAAATCCCGGTGGTTCAATACTCATAAAAATGTCTCCATGTCAAGAAGACAAGAGCTGCCCCTGTCTGGCCTTTCCATTAACATAAGAGAAAATTTAGCTCAAGAGAATATAGTTTGGATCTAGAACGTACTCCAAAGGCTCGTGTGCTGAAAGAATGGTCCTTAAGCTGGTCCTATTGAAGGTAGTAGAAACTAATGGAAAGGAAGTTAGGTCATTGGGGCTGTTACCTTTGAAGGGGATATTTGGACCCTAGCCATGTCCACTTCCTATTGCTTATTCTTAGCCATACAGAACAGCAGGTCTCTTTTGCCATGACTCCTACTATGATTTGCTACCATAGGCCCAAAGTATCAAAGCCAATCAGTCATGGACTAAAATCTCCAAAACTGTGAGCCAAAATAAGCATTTGCTCTTGTTAAGTTGATTTCTCTCAGATATTTGTTATAGTAACAGAAAACTGATAACAGAGAAGGAAAAGATTTGGAAGAAAAGAAGGAGGTGGGCATGGACATGGAAGAGAAAGTCAGGAAGAAATGGTAGTTCAAGGCAGAAAAGAAGGCACACTCTAGTATTGCTGAGAACAAACACAGGAAGAGTAGTGAGACCACTCCAGCCACACAGTGGGCCACCAGAGGATCTCCTTCTCTGATAAGGACTTACTTCTAGCCTGTGATGTCTTTGCCACTCTACATCTGTTTGGTGCAAATACCATTCAGTGTGGGTGGGTGGCTACAATGCCCACATCTCAGCAGTCTCAGCAACCATCATACTCCTGAAAAAGGAAGGGACTCCTCTCCTAACACCACAAAATGACTTCCAAGTCTAATGCCTGTAATTCTAACTCCTCAGGAGACTAAGACCTGTATGATCATCATAAAAGCCAGCCTGGGTAGAAAAATCTATGAGACTCGTCTCTAATTAATTGGCAAAATGCCAGACTGCAGATGAGGCTCAAGTGGTAGAGTACAAACAGTGAGCAAGAAATCTGAGGGAGAGCCCAGGCCCTGAGTTCAAGCACCAGTACTGGCACGCACACACACACACACACGCGCACACACACACACACACACACACACACACACGACTGGGCATGGTACCTGCCTATGGTTCTAGCTATTAAGGAGTCCAAGGTAGAAGGATCATTGAGCCCAGATTTCAGGGCCAGTCTGGGCTGCATAATAAAACCCTATGACTTACATAAATAGTAGATGGATGGGTATCTATAAAAACTTACCCGTAAAAACTTATGGATGGATAACAAACGTACATGTATCTGCTGTGTAACTCTTGTCCAGTTTTTCTATAGGATATACCAAATGTTACTTGTTATATTTTAAATTTCTTTCTTAAGGTTTCCTAGTCAGCAGTGTAGTGCACACCTGTAAACCTAGTTAATCAAGAGACTGAGATCTAAAGATCACAGTTTGAAGCCAGTGTGGGCACAAGTCTGAAAGACTCTATCTCCAGAATAACAGGCAACAAGCTGGGCTGAAAGTGTGATTCAGGTGGTATAGTGGAAGTTAAACAAGCAAGGTGAGTAAGCTTGAAGCCTTGAATCCAAGCTCCAGTACCAGGGGGTGATGGGGTGGAGGGGACGATGAGGGGGTAGGGGCAAAGGTTATATAATTACTTTTCAAGACATGACCTCCTAAACTCATAACTGTAAAGAAATAGTAGGGTGATTCAGTTTACAAAGCAACAGAAATCTGAACTCTTAAAGAAATCTGTGGTAAGACTTGATCTTAAGAGTGCTGTTGTATACCTTCATCACATATTTAAATCCAGTTTTACATTAATTAATTAATGTCCAGTGTCCACCATAAAGCATTTGCTTAAGATCATGTTCCTCAAGTACTGACGTCATCAAACTGAACCAACATCTCTTCCCAGGCTCTCATGCTACAACATTCAACGAACTACATAAGCACTGTATAAATAATGGGGACACCACAAACTATTGCATCAACATCCTGGAAGTAAAAGAGTAGACTCACATGTTGATCTTCAATGTTCTTCAACAGCCTGGGATCATCAAAGTCACAGGAATCACTAGGGGGTGGAGGCATTCGACTGTAAGAGAAAAGAAAAGCTAATCATTCTATTCAAAAGTTCCCATAAGCCATAGGTTACATAGGATGCACAGCTTCCTTCGTTTGTGGTAACTAGAATATGCTTATAAACCTATAAGTAAACAAACTGGCTAGTAAAAGACAAAAAATACACTTATACATGATAAAATATTCAGGACTCTGGACATTCACACAGTGAGACCAAAAGAGGATACTCTTAGTAGAGGATCACAAAGGCTCAAAAGCTATGTGCATATGATCATTTAAAATGATATTTATTGAAATGGAAACAAAAGATTTTTGTTGTTTTGGGTTTTTTTCTTGTTTTTTTCTCCTTTGTCCCTTTGTCTCCTTTGTCCTTTTTTGTTTTCTTTACCTTTTGTCTTATATGTAAATTTATCTGTTTGGGGGAGGGTAGGGAGGAACACAGAAGTCATGGGACAAACAGTGAAGGAATGAAACAGTGATACTCACTAGACACCATGCTGAAAATGAACTAAACTTTGTGGAGGGGGGGGTGGAAGGAAAAACTGGGAGAAAATGAGGGAAGGGGTGACACTGTTCAAAAAGAAATGTATTCATTACCTGATTAATGTAACTGTTACCTCTCTGCACATCACCTTTACAATAACAACTTAAAGAAACAAAGTTCCTGTAAAGGTAACTCAAACCTAGTAAGAATCTATGTTCAAGAAGAACCATGTTGCCAGGTATAGTGGCTTAAACCTGTAATATCACCTGCACAAGAGGCTGGGATCTGAGGATGAAGGTTTAAAGCTAGCCCAGGCAGGGCAGGAATCTTAAATGTACACTACTAGCATACTACTAAATAAAAGTAAAATCCTACATGCTGTAGGATTCTAACTACAACATTCTTGAAAAGGCTAACTATAGAGACAATAAAAAATCAAGCTTCCAAGAAGTTGGGGTTCTGGGAGTTGACTAGACAGAATAGAAAGGACTATATAATACTTCAATGATAAATAGTTATTATACTACATGTGTCCACACTCACAGAATATGCAGCACCTGTTAAGTCTTTAAAATGTGGGGTGGGATACAGTGGCTCATGCTTATTATTCTAGCTACATAGGAAGCAGAGATCAGAAGAGTTGAAAAAGGCTAAAAAATTAGAGAGATTCCCATTCAATGAAAAATCTGTGTATAGTGGCACATGCCTTTTATACTAGCTACAAAGGAAGTATAAGTATGAAGAACAATTCCAGGCCAACCTATGCAAAAGTTGTGAGATCCTACCTGAAAAAAGTAACCAGAGAAAAAAGGATTGGGAGTAAGGCTCAAATGTTAGAGTGCCTGTGTAAAAAGACAAGACCCTGGGAATGGGCAGGGCTAAAATGGATTTGGGGAGAATAATGGAAGGGGTGACATTGATCAAGATGCACTGTACTCAAAAACTGACATGTCGAGTAATTATAACCCCTCTGTACAGTATTTTCATAATAAAAAATAAAAAATCTGACATGTCGAATTGAAACCCCTTTGTACAAGTACTTCATGACAATAAAAATCTTACTTTGGTTCAGTTTCAAAATTACTTATATAACTTACATTTACATATATAAATATTCAGGTGGGAAGTACTAATATAAAATTCTGGAGCCTGTGTCACTAAAGCACCAAAGTATGCTAGAATCTACTTACGAAAAATCATCTGAGGATGGCTCTCGTGTCAGTTCTGGGAAGTGACTGCCAGAGAAGGAAAACAAAGGTCACAACACTTTGATCAAAGCACAAACATCCAGATAAAAACATGGGAAAGAAACTGAGAAGGATTAGATTTAATACATAGACCTACATCCCTGGGACTTCCTAAGTTCACACTTACAGAAATCATTCATATTTTAACTGTTAAAATTCATATTTTTTTTGGTTCCGGTCGTGGGGCCTGAACTCTGGGCCTGGGCACTGTCCCTCAGCTCTTCAGCTCAAGGCTAGCGCTCTACCACTTGAGCCACAGTGCCACTTCCAGCTTTTTTCTTTTTGTTTATGTGGTGCTGAGGAATCGAACCCAGGGCTTCAGGCATGCAAGGCAAGCGCTCTACCACTGAGCCACCTTCCCAGCCCCTTAAAATTCATATTTTAACTGTTCATTTTAGACCCATTCAGTCTTAAACACATTTAATAGCAACTACCTATCTAAATTTCTTCTAAATACCAAAAAGTCAAGATATTTGACCAACTAGCTGAAAATAAATTAATTCTGTTGGAAGCATACAAGTGAGCTTTCCAGGAATAAACACTCACCCATAGGTTACCCCAGCAATGCTGCATTTCTTGAAGTTCATGATGTTGCATGTCAGAGTTCCAGTCTTGTCAGAAAACAGATATTTTACCTAAATTTTAAAGAAATGCACATCCAGAAGATAATAAGATGAAAAGATCAACAAATGAAGTCATCCACAATTTTTATTTCTTTGAAGAAAATGTATTTATTTATTGTAAAGAACATTTACAAAGGGGTTACAGTTATATAATCAGGTAATGAGCACATTCCTTTTTGAACAGTATCACCCCTTCCCTCACTTTCTCCCAGTTTTTCCCCTCTTCTCCCCTCCCACAAGTTAGTTCATTTTCAATATGGTATCTAGTGAGTCTCTCTGCTGCATTTGTTCACCTTTGGTCCTACCATTTTTGTGCTCCCTCTTATCTTCCCCAAAACAGCTATGCTTACAAACAAGACAAAAGGGACAGAAAACAAAAAATAGAAACAAAGGAAAAACAACTCTTGTTTCCATTTCTTAGAGTTCATTTTGATAAATATAATTTTATATGATCATATGCACTTAGCTATTGATCCTTTGTGATACTCTCCTAAGAATATCCTCCTTTGATCTCACTGTATGAATGTCTAGAGTCCTGTAAAGATGTCCTCTAAACAAATGAATACCCAAAAAAGTTAATGTTTAGACAATTTATAAATCTTTTTCTATAACTAACCCTACATAAAAATTGTATAGAAGTGTGCCAAGGTACTGAGCACAGTGGCTCATGCCTGTAATCTTAGCTACTCAGGAAGCTGAGATCTGAGAATGGCTGTTTGAAGCCAGCCTGGACAGGAAAATCTGTGAGACTCTTATCTATAATTAACCACCAAATGGTTAGAAGTAAAGCTGTGGCTTAGCTGTTAGAATGCTAGTCTTGAGGAAAAACTTGCTCTGGGACAGCAGCCAGGCTCTGAGTTCAAGCCCCAGGACCAACAAAGGAAAGGAGGGAAGGAGGGAGGGAGGGAGGGAGGGAGGGAGGGAGGGAAAAAGGAGAGAGAGAAAGAAAGAAATAGAGAAGAAGGAAGGAAGGAAGGAAGGAAGGAAGGAAGGAAGGAAGGAAGGAAGGAAGGAAGGAAGGGAGAAAGAGAAGGGGAAGGAAGGACGGGGGGAGGAAAGGAAAGAAAAAAAGAAGTATCTATATGATACTTCTTCTAGCTCTCAAATGAATGAGCACTCTCACGTGCCTCTTCACAGAGGGTTGCTGAGGAAGTGGAGGGGGAAGTAATGGTTTCTATACTGTACAGGACAACATGAGACCAGATATGCACAGGCGGTCTGCAGGTTAGTGGATTTGTCATTGACCAACCAGGTATCTTGGAGTAGAGTTGGAGTAATAGAGCACCTGTCTCACAGGGTTGTTGGGATGCTTGAGATGTATAAAATGAATTCACAAGCTTTTACTGCAATTCATTAAAAAAAAAAAAGACATAGTCTTGCACTGGTGGCTCACAACTATAACTGCTCTGGAAGAAGACATCTGAGGATCACAGTTTGAAGCCAGCCCAGGCAAGAAAGTTCCTAAGACTCTTACCTCTAATTAATTACCCAAAAGCTGAAAGTAGAGCTGTGTCTCACATGGTAGAGTGCTAGCTTTGAGCAAAAATATTCAGGGACAGTACCTCAGCCCTGAGTTCAAGCCCAGGACCAGCAAAAATAGATAAATAAATAAAAATAATTCTTCATACCAATTTCAGTAAAAAATACAATTCAGGTGAAGATGAAGGGATTGAGGAGGAGAAGAAGAGTTTGAAATATTCCAAAAAAAATGTTGCCTCACACTGACAGTTCAAGGCTATAATCCTACCTACACAGGAGGCTGAGATCTCAGGATCCCAGTTTGAAGCCAGCCTGAACATTAAAGTCATTGAGACTCATCTCCAATTAACCACCCAACAGTTTCAAGTGGTTCTAGTGATTAAAATTTTAAAAAAAGCTAATGGCGGATCTAGGCCCTGAGTTCAAGCCCCAGTACCAACATACATACACACACACACACACACACACACACACACATCCAGAGAGAGAGAGCATAATCAGGGCTATGACAGGAATACATATCCCTCAAATAACTTCCACATTTTTACTTTGTGGAGTTACTCAAATATCTGAGAATTTTATTCATTACTTGCTCTGTCTATTGCTTCTGATAAATACTTTAAATGGGTCCCATATTCTTATATTGTTCTATGCTATGCTTTATGCAGGTAATGTCCAGATAGCAGCCAGGTTTCCAAAACCAAGTCTAAATTCGCACTTGCATTTATTCATACTTTCAAATAATATATACAGGTCTTTAGATGGCATCATCACATTCATTCATAACTATTCTTGTAAAATCTCTCCATGGTTCTGCTATCATTCATATTCCCTCCTGCTCACGTCTCTGTTACTGAAGTTCCCAAAGAAGTTCTCACCTGCCCAAGCTCTTCATTAAGGTTTGATGTCCTTGCCATTGCAGGAGTGTCATTTCCTATGTAATACATATCTGTGTCCTGAGAGAGAAAAAGAGAGACAAAGAAAAAGACAAGAGAGAGAGCTCTTTAGAAATTATATACCATTAATATTTCATTCAATTTAACACAGAAGCTAAAGACAAGTACATTAAAACCCTTTCATTTTAATAAAAATGTTAATTTTTAATTTGGGAGTGAAAAATACAGTTATTATTGAGTTAAAAATACAGCTTGTAAACAAGAAGGGGAAACATGATGTTTTCTATTCAGGAGATCATTTTATATAAGATAATAATTTTATGACCCAGACTAATTTATAAGCCTGGGCTCAGTTACCTCATCCACAGGAGTGTTGTGATGATCACAATCAGATGTATATAAAAGGCTTGGTCTGGCTGGGCGCCCATTGCTCAGGCCTATAATCCTAGTTACTATAATCCTAGTCTGGGATATGAATATCATGGTTCAAAGCCAGCCTGGGCTGGAAAGTCCATGAAACTCTTATTTCCAATAAACTACCAAACAACAGCCAGAATTATAGCTAGGATCTAAGTGGTAGAATACTAACCTAAAGAAAAAAAAAGCTGAGCAACAGAGCCCACGCCCTGAGTTCAAGGCCTAGGACTAGGACAAGAAAAAGAAAAAAAGAGCCTGGTCTGCAAATACTGGCTGCTAATATGCAGACTCAATGACCATGGCAGTCCCTTAAAACCCATACCTTCACTCATAAAACTAAAGCAAGTTTACTGTCACAGTGAATTTTGTAGTTCAATAAAATTCACAGGAGCACAGCTAAGAGGCCTTTTCCTTAGCACTAACGAGACTTTAAAGGTAGCCAAAGCATGGAAAGGCACCCATTCCTCATGCCTGTAATTCCCACCTCTCATTCTAGTTACTCGGGATGTTAAGATCTGAGAATCACAGTTTAAAGCCAACTCAGTCAGGAAGGTCCATGAGACTCTTATCTCCAATTAACCACCAGAAAGCCAGAAGTGGATCTGTGGCTCAAGTGGTAGAATGCTAACCTTGAGCAAGAAGGCTCAGGAACAGGGTCTTGGTTCTGAGTTCAAGACCCAGACAAGCACAAAAGAAAACAAAAACTTACCCAGTTTATAAAGAGGGCTTGAGTGTATTTCACAACCTCAAGAGTCACCAGCAGACTGATGGGAATGAGATTGTTGTATAAGATGATGAACGTCAACAGATTGTAGCCAAAATTATCCGAGCTTGTGTCTGTGCAAGGAAACAAGAGCTCCATATAGGCTTAAATAGTATCTCCATTTAGTTTCTTTTCACTTGGTTATTTGGGATTTTTTTAATCTAAAGGATGTTCACAACAGAGCCATGTGCCAGTGGCTCACACCTGTAATCCTAGATACTCAGGAAGCTGAGATCTGAGAATGACAGTTGGAAGCTAGAAGTGAGACTATTATCTCTAACCACCAAAAAGCCAAATATAGAGCTGTGACCCAAGTGGCAGAGTGCCAGTCTTGAGTAGAAAAAGCAAAGTAAGAGCAGGAGGCTCTGAATTCAAGACTCAGTACTGACAATAAATAAATAAATAACAATTCACAGCATAAGCCTATCATTGGCTTGTTTAGAGATACAAATAGTATGCACCTGCTATGTATCACACTACAATAGTACAAAGACTATTCAGACACAGCCCTGAAGACAGAGCTGACTGTTCCCGGAGGTTAGAGGCGAGAAGAGGAAGCAGACACAATTTGCCCTTCCTTGTGGCCATACAGTGGGATATAGTTTCTACAGGAGTATTCATTTGACATTGTGGGAATCAAGACAGGACAATATTTAGGGAGAAAACAGAAGTCTGGGAATGGAGATTAGGAATTTGTAATGGCTTCAAACCACAGCAGGAAAGTAAGTCAAATAGTAATGGTTTGAGTCACTTAGAGCTCTGGAGAATGGTTGTGATGAACAAATAAGGTGCCAGGAAAGAGTAAGGTGATCAGATACACATCAGCCAGCATTCCCAACATCCTTCCATTTTGAGGCAGGGGAGGGGAGGGGTTTGTGTATCATTTACTGGGGGTTAAACCCAGCACCTTGTGCATGGTAGCAAGTGATCTACACTGGAGCCACGAGCTCTTATGTTCTATGTTTTGTTTTGGAGATAAAGTCTTGCTTTTGCCCTGACTAGTCTCAAACTCTCAATCCTCCTGCCTCCAACTCTCATTTCATTTTCCACTTATCAAGATTTCCACTTCTCCAGCTGATTCCCTTTTCCCTGACATATTACTTTGCTATCTGGTTCTCCTACAGAATTAAGGAGTTATCAGACAGGAGCTCTAAATCCCAACCATTGTGAATACATTTATTTAGACATAAATATCAGTCTGACAATAAAATTACATAGTAATAAGTTTCAATTTTCTGATTTTGCACTCCAGCCCCAATGCATCATGCCACTACATACAGTGTCAAAGAGTAAAGCACAACTGAGGTAAAAACCTCAGACCCAAAGTGCAAGAAACCTAGAATGACCCAAAGCCAAGAATCTGGAGAGAGGTCTATAAAAGAATCTCCACTCCTGAATAAAAAAACATTCAGCCACATGGATAGCTCATACCAGTAACCCTAGCTGCTCATGAAGCTAAAATCTAAGGATCTCGGTTTAATGTCAGCTTGGGCAGAAAATTCTGAGACTCTTATTCTCCAATTAATCAGCAAAAGGCCAAACTGAAGGTAGGGCTTAAATGGTAGAGCACCAGTCATGAGCAAAAATGTGTAGCAAAAGGGCAAGGCCCTGAATTCAAAACACACAACAATTTGGCCAAACAAAAATAATCAAAAAGAGATGAGAAAGAACAGAATCTGATAGGAATTGAAGTCAATGATCCAACAATGTCCTGGCAGCTGGGGGGATGGTGAAATTCAAGTGTTCATTCCCACAAAGGCTGTTATACCAAAATGGTATTGGTGCTGTCTGCTTACCCCAACTATGATGCTGCAGAATGAATAATACATGAACCATGCTATCAGTCTTCACCTGTAAAGCATGCTCCAGATCCAAATCCAAATATAAGAACCCAGACCCAATTAACAAGCAAAAAAGGCATAAGTGGAGTTGTGGTTCAAGCAGTAGAGCATTTGTCTTGAGCAAACAAGCTCAGGAACAGCCTGGAGCTCAAGTCCCCTGACTGACACCAAAAGATACATTTTGGAGTTCACTATACAGATATATATATATATATATATATATATATATATATACAATATATATATATATATATACAGGTACTTTGTATTAATATTTATATATAAAATAAATACACACAAAAGAGTGAGGAGACAATGAAGATATTTGAAGCAAAGCAATACCAGCTAGTAAATCATTCACAGGGACAAATGAATGGTAAACAAACAGATTAATAACAAAATGACCCCATAAACACTTTTTTCCTTTTGCTTCTTTTTTGTCTTTTTTCTTTTAGTACTGGAGATCAAACCCAGGACGTTGCACTTGCTAAGCAAGCACTTTGCACTGAGCTACATCCCAGCTCTTTTTTATTGGTTATAAAAGCCAATAATTATAGCCCTGTACTGTTGGGATAATAATATAGATGTGCTATGTATGACAATAATAGCATAAGCAAAAGAGGAAATGCAAGTTTACTGGAGTCATGTGTTTGTCCTTTACTAGAATTAAGTTAGGGTTTACTCAAAGTAGAATTCTCATGTTATAATCCCTAAAGTAACCATACACACACCAAAAAAAACTTAAAAAAATATCTAAAAAACCATCATTCAAGCAAAAAGTACTCCTCAAATGTGTTCATTTTCCCTTCATCTCATGATTCCTCGCCTGTCATTTCTTGAAAACTTGGTATTTTATACAGCATTACAAAAGGGAAGTATAAAAATGTCAGTCACCAATCACATATCATATGTAGACTGATCTTTTATGGGTAGCTTTGTCCTACTGCAACAAGCAACAACCCACCCCAACACTTACCCATCTTCTGGATATACCAGTTCTTGCCATCATGAGACCCATTCCAGTACAGGGCTCCCACAGAGCTCACCAAGGCCATGACCAAGAGGATGCCAAACAATACCAGGATTTGCACGTTGGTTACTTTCTCAACATTTGATCTTTTGAGAGGTGCTTTGGTAGAATTCTGTAAAAGACAGTTAAAAGTCAATAAGGGTCACAGAACAAACTAAGGGGCAATGGGTAAGAAGAAAAGGAAGGAAGACAAAGGAATTTCACAAAGAAAAAAATAAAAGAGCATTTCTCTTCCAAATAATCAGTAAAATTAAATGTATATTGGGCTCTTGAATCAATAACTAGTTCTATGAAGAAAGACTTTTAACAGTTTAAAGAACACATTTTAACTCTACATGATTCATTCAGTACGTCTTGTTATTACATCTTAGCCTAACATTTGCCATATTTATTATAGAATACAAAAGTCACCAAAGAAAACCAGAAGAATGTTCATTTAAGAGAAAATTGAAGATCCTATGCAATAAAAATCTAAAGAGACCTTCAAAGAAATAACTCAGCTTTAGACCAAATACAAGAAATACTTTTTCCTCCAATAGCCCACTTAGAGGAAAAAAAGACATAATAAGACATACATATCAATAATGTAAAACAGAGCCAGGCATAAGTGGCTCATACCTGTAATCCTAGTTACTCAGGAGGCTAAGATCTTAGGATCATAGTTTGAAGCCAGACTAAGAAGGAAAGTCTGTAAGACCCTTATTCCAAATTAACAGGCAAAAAGTCAGAAATAGTGCTGTGGCTTAGCCTTGAGCAAAGATGTTAAGGGACAGCATCCAAGCCTTGAGCTCAAACCCCAGTAAAGTTACACACAAACACATACATACACACAAAATAATAATAATAATGCAAATTAGATATAGGTATGTGTTTAAAATAAATGGACAGACAAAAGGTTCCCCTTGGAAGAGTGTGAAGAAGAAATGAGCAGAAACAGTCAGGAAGGACCTCGTGAAAAAGAGAGAGCTGAGTCAAAAGCAGTAGATCACAGGCAGGAAGGTAACACATAAAAAACAGAACAGCATCATTCCTGGTGGGGAAATCAGCCTAACTAGAATGGACCATAGTGTTGAGGAAGGGAAAGAAAAAGTCCTCTAGACTCTACATGAAAATTCATTAGCAAAGCCCATCTTATAATCAATCAAAGTTGACTGGAATAATTCATGCATATGTGGTCTTGGGTCAAGAACCAGAAGACTTTCTCCAAGACTATCTTGTAAAAAGTAAAGATAAGCATTCACTGAATGCACAGGCAGGAAAAAATTACAACCCCCCCCATTTCAATGACCCCATTAGTTACTGACTTCTGATCTCTTCCAGTGGTTGAATTCCAGCCTGTAAAAGGGTTAGGAAAATTTATCTTTCTTCCAACAGAACAGAAACCACAGCTGACACCAATGGCTCATGCTTATAATCCTAGATACTCAGGAGATGGAGATCTGAGGATCAAAGATCAAAGCCAGCCAGGCAGGAAAGTCTATGAGACTCTTATCTCCAATGAACTACAAAAAGCTAGGAGTTCAGCTATGGCTCAAGTGGTAGAGCACCAGCTTTGAGTGAAAAAACTAAGGGAGACTGTGAGAACTTGAGTTCAAGTCTCAGTAACAGCACAAAAAATAAAGTAAGGAATAAATAAAATCAGAAACCACCCCAAAACTTCAAGCTTTAACACATTAACTTTGTGGAAAGTCAAGCTCCATCTACTCATTCCCTTCCCTTGACCATTTATTTCTACCTTTTACAATGAGTTTTTAATGTTAAATTCTTACTGGAGTTTTAAGTTCATAAAAAAATTCTTTTTACAATTGAAGTTGTAAAAAGAAACAGGTCAAACAAAACATCCAATTTTTGAGAAAGCTGAAATCAGATCCAATATATTACACATTTTGTTACTACTTGAGAAAGCAGAGAGCAGAATGTTAGTTAGAACAAGAGCTGTGGAGTTTACCTACCTGGATCTGAATCCTACCTCTATCTTTTTCTAGTTTGCTAATCTGGGGTTACTTAGACATCATGCCTCAGTTTCTTATAAAATAACAAAACTGTTACTACTCTCCTCATACTTAGAAATAAATGACTTAATATGTGTGAATTACTTAGAACGATGCATGATATGGTACAGTTCATATCTGCTATAATTAATGTGATAGCTTCTCTTCACCACTAAATCAACTAAAGGCAAAGAACAATGAAAAATACCTACATGTAACTACACTAAGCATGAGCCAGAAGTAACTCTGAAGGGTAGAAGGCAGAGAAGCTCGGATTTAAGAATTGTAAAGCAATGCAGTTGCTGTTCTGTGGTCAAACATTACAAACACAGATAAAGTGTTCCTTCAAGCTGGGTACTCCTGGCTCACGCCTGTAGTCCTAGCTACTCAGGAGACTGAAATCTGATGATTGTGGTTCAAAGCCAGCCTGGCCAGGAAAGTACATAATACTCTTCTTCCAAATAACTGCCAAAGAAATAGCAAGAAGTGGAGCTGTGGCTCAAGTAGTAGAGCACTAGCTTAGAGCACCAGTATACAATGAAACTAGAAAAGGGCTTAAATTTATAATAGGTACAATCTGAAAACTAATCTTGGGGCCCTGCCTAAATTTAACCTCATCATTCATGATGAGATGTTGTCATTTCAACATAAAAGGCAGTGGTTTGTGGTCAGTGGTGCTCCAGGTATTTCGTCAGACACTGGGCTGTAGAAGTTCAAGGTTACTTAATAGATGGCAGAGCACTAGCCTATCCATTCACACAAACTACTCCGTAACAACAAATTAAACATTATAATCAGCTGCTGTGAAGGAATGAGAATCAAGCAGGAAGCTGGATAAGGCACATCCTAGATATGCTGAACCATCCTGATCTAACCAATATTTGTCTCTCAGCATTAACTAACTGTGGGAACCCTAGAGCTCTGAGAGGGTTTTAGGAGATTTGACAGTGTGCTTGAAGTATGAATGATATCAGGGGAATATCCTGGTTGTTTATCCTATCTCTAAAGGCACAGGCTTATGCAAGTTTGACCTTTTTCATTAATTCCTGTCAAAAGACAGAGTTCCAGTATATACAAATTTTAGTGAGGAAATTCCTAGATCCCTTGCTGAAACTGTTTAAGTACTTTCTGATTTATTTTTGTCATCTATCCCCTGGAATGTGTCTTTTTGTCTATTTTCCTGGAACTCCCTTAAGTTTGCCCTGGGCTAATATGAACTTATAATAGCAGAGGTTTGGGGAAAGAACAGTAGTTTAACCATATCTGTCAGTAAAACTTATTCCTCATGCCACGGTGGTAATTGTAATATTAATTATTTAATAAACAATATTCTGAGATATCACTGCATGGGCACCTCTTTATCTGTCACCCCAGAATCTGCTAGGTCTGAACTAGCAATTATCTATTCATTTTTCTACCTTCCATGAAGCCCTCCTCCCTAGAGTGCCTTACATCTTCCTCTTGCTTTGTGAACTCTCCTCCTGCTCCTTGCCTTACCAGGCCAAATCCTTCCCCAGACAAAGAATATTTCCAGTAAGACTCAGATCAATTGGCATCTGGTGTTACTGAGTATATATTCAAGAATTTACAATGCTTCTGGACATTTGTTCCTCTAATGGTATTTTTAAAAATTCACAGATACAAGTGAATTCCCCTAACAATTCTCCTCACTCACTGAAGCCTTAAGCAACTAGCTCATGAAATTCCTCCCTCCCTCAACCTTGCCTTTTTCAACTATCTTGGAAAGCCTAGCACCAATCTGTCCAATCCTTACTCTCTCCTGCTCAGCAACAAATGGCCTGACACAGCTTGATCTTTTACTTCATATTGCCATGGTTCAGCCTCAGGTCTCTCCTCATTGGAAACTCTCAACTTCAATTGGAAACTCAAAGACAATGTTTCTATATATTTGTCTACATGTCACTCAATAACTCTTAACAGTTATCTTCAACTTCAGGGAGTTTCTCCAGCCTTCTATTCCTAATTGCCTTCCTTGTCTTCATTGCATTTGTCTATCTTAATCATTTAACTCTTATCTTTCTATTATCTGGCTTCGAGGAGGGGATCTAAACAATAATCTACCTCCTTCCTGATATCAGGTCTCTAGCATCGCCAGCTAGGGTTGGATGACCTTCTATATATACATCCACAAGACTGTTTTTTACAATTATCCTTCTACTTTACAATATCACATTATTCCTTAGTCTACCTGGTTCCCCAAAGTATGATTTGGCTTTTTGCTGTCATATCAACATGGCCCAACACAAGACTTGGTGTATGGACACTATTTTTAATTAAGACCAATAGCTACTATAAGCTTTAGAAGTTATATAAAAATACTGGAGAAGAAAATCCAATTCTCATTAATAACTGCCACTAGCAAAATAAAATGCCTCGTGTAGTCACAAAAAGTAAAAACAGATACAGCAAGACACTGACTTATATAGAATTTCAAAAGCAGGCTGACAAAATATGACGTTAATATAAACATGGGCTATAAATTCACAAACAAAATTTTGAGAAAAAACCCATTTATAGGGAAAATGGGAAAAATCATTTTAAAATGATATTTTTTTCTTTGGTTCAAAAACAATTGAGTTTAGTCAGGCTCAGGTGGTTCACACTTATAATCCTAACAACTCAGGAGGCTGAGATGACCACAGTTCAAAGCCAACCAGGGCAGGCAAGACTGTGAGACTTAGTCTCAAATTAACCAGCAAAAACCTGGAAGTGGAGCTGTGGCTTAAATGGTAGAACACCAGCTAAGTAGCCAGACCAAGTACTAGCATACATGAAAAATAATGGTCGGTCATGGGGGCTGAGCTTTGGGCCTGGGCACTGTCCCTCAGCTCTTCAGCTCAAGGTTAGTACTCTTGAGCCACAATGCCACTTCTGACTTTTTTCTGCTTATATGGTACTGAGGAATCGAGCCCAGGGTTTCATGCAAGTGAGGCAAGCACTTTACCACTGAGCCAACTTCCCAGCCCAATTTTTAACTGAGTTTACAAGTCTAGAATTCATTTAAATAAGAATTTATGGTAAAATTTTAATTAATGGAACGAAGAGAACTAAAGAGAGATAAAATATTTGACCTAATCTCCACTTAAGTCCAGAAGACAAAGTAAGTTAGAATCAATTGTCCCTCTTAAGTCTAACAAAGAACATTTATATTTCAGACTAAACAAATATTTGATAATAACAACAAAACTCCAGAAGAAACTATCTAAGAATAAAGCACTAGCTTTCCTAGTTTAGGTTCATAGACAAATGAGCTTCCTAAACGTGAAAGCTGCATCCCACCCTCCATTAGAACAGAAAGAAAAGGAGTAAAAAGAAGTCAATATTGTTTCTCAGCACAGAAGCATTTTACCTGCATGAGTTTGGTGTCATGTCCAGTATAAACAACAATGCCAAAGACCCACTGAGTATTTCTAAGTTGTGTACCTCTTAATAAGATCTGGTCAGGCCCAAGGGCAACAGGGCTGAAAATAAGAAACAACATTTATATTTAATGACAGTCGAACATATATTAACTTCTCCTGAAGCATAAACTCATAATAAATGTTTCCTACAGTCAAATTTGAGCAATATCCTTTATCCATTCATCAGAATGGAAAACAAAATAAGATTTTGATAGTTTTTTTGTTTTTGTTTTGTTTGATGCCAGTACTGGGGCTTGAACTCAGAATCTGGGTGCTATCTCTGAGCTCTTTTTGCTCAGGGCTAACCCTATACCAATTGAGCCACACCTCCACTTTTGGATTTTTGGAAGATAATTGGAGATAAAGTCCACAGACTTTCCTGCCCAAGCTGGCTTTGAACCATGTTCCTCAGATCTCTGCCTCTTGAGTAGCTAGGATTACAGGCATTATCTACTAGCATCCAGCTCCAGTTTATTTTATATAAATGTTAGAGAAAATTATTTTGTATTTCCCTGTTACTACTCAGAAAAGAAATTGCTAAGAAAAAGAAAATTTGAAACATTCACTTCTGAAACTAAATTTATATTATAGACTTCTATAAGAAGAAAAACAAAAGGGATGGGAAGGGGAAACAAAGGAGGAGGCTACAATGCTTGATAAGAAATGTACCCATTATCTTGCCCATGTAATTGTAACCCCTCTTACAGTATTTTCACAATAAAAAAAGAAAAACAAGATGCAATAAACCTCTTCTATCAAATTTGTCAAGAATGGCTTAATGATTAATCACTTGAGTGAATTTTAGTAATTTGAGACTTCCAGTTAGAAATTTGAAATGTAGAATGATTATATATGAAGGCTGGGAATGTGGCTTAGTGGTAGAGCACTTGCCTGGCATGCATGAAACCCTGGGTTTAATTCCTCAGTACCACATACACAGAAAAAGCTAGAAGTGGCTCTGTGACTCAAGTGGTAGAGTGCTAGACTTGAGCACAGATAGGCTTAGGGACACAGCCCAGGGCCTCAATTCAAGCCCCAGTATTGGCAAAAAAAAAAAAAGAATGGTTGGATATGAGAAATGACAGCCAAGCCAGGCACCAGTGGCTCACACCTGTAATCCTACAGCTACTCAGGAGGCTGAGTTTTGAGGATCTAAGTTAGCCCCAGCAGGAAAGTCCGGGAGACTTTTCTCAAATTAACCACCAAAAATCTGAAAGTGGCGAGGTGGCTCAAGTGGCAGAGCACCACCTTTGAGCAAAAACAGCTCAAGGATAGTATCCAGGCTCTGAGTTCAAGCCCCAGGATTGGGAGGAAGGAAGGAGAGAGGAAGAGAAGGAGGAAAGGAGGGAGGAGAGAGACAGAGTTACCTTTTCCCATCCAAATGCAAGGTCCCAGTGAAGTCATAGAGGTGGCGATTGGGCCCTTCACATTCTATAGTTCCAGCCAGTTTCATCAGCACTTCTCGAGTCTGCATGTCAGCAGTGTGACTCAAACCCTAAAATGTTAAACCAACAGAGAAAAATAAAAGCACTCTCCCATGTTTAAAGGGCAATATCCTTCTCCAATATTCCATCAGTTATAAGGCACAATGAGCTATCTATAATACAATAATTTGGCAAATTAAATCCAGCTGCTTTTGATAAACTGCACAACAATGAGGTGCAAAAATATCAAAGATTTTAATTTGGCAAAGATGATGGTCCCATCCTTGTGCTGAGAATAACTATGCTTAAGTAATAATTAACACGTCTTATAGAAGGCATGAACTATTAGCTGGCCTCTAACTGTGGTCATAAAGGTAGAATAAGGGATCCCACTAATATTGTATTCTATTTATGGGAATCTTTTAAATGTTTTGTTCCAAACATACATAAAAATATAATTTTAAAGCAAACCTCATTAATTCTTTTAATTTTTTTCCTTAAAATTATTTTCTTTTTTTTATTGTGAAAATACCATACAGAGGGCTTACAATTACATGGGCAAGATAATGAGTACATTTCTTATCAAGCATTGTAGTCTCCTCCTTTGTTTCCCTTTCCCATCCTTCCCCCGCCCCCGCCACCTAATCCTCCTCCCCACCCCATCAAAGTTGTAAAGTTCGTTTTTCCACATAATGACTTGTACATCTCATTGTTGCAATGGATCCACCTGTACCCCTATTTAAACGATTTGTTTTTTCCCTTCCCCTCCACAAATTATACCAACCTCAAATACAGTGAAAGCAGGGGTTATACCATGGGGGAGGTACATACAAAGCAACAAAGAAATAATCTTATAAATGTGTTAGAAACAATCACCTGAATCATTAACTCTTTTAGAGAGGATGATTCTGAGGTTCAAACTCAGGTTCTCATACTTGCTAGGCAGGAGCTCTAACACTTGAACCATGTTCCCAGCCCTTTTTGTTTTAATTATTCTTCAAGTGAGGTCTTATGATTCTGCCAGGGCCATCCTAAGACCATGATCTTCCTACATATGCCTCTTGCCTAGCTAGGATGACAGATGCATACACACCCAATTTACTGATTGAGATGGGGTCTCATTAATCTTTGCCCAGGCTAGCCTGGAGCCATAATCCTCCCACAATCTTCACCCCCATGCATAGCTAGGATTATAGGTATGAGCTACCATGCCTGGCCAAATCTTTAAACACAGAAGAAAACAATCTAAAGAAATATATGTAAACAAAATTACTGAATTCAAGTTTACGTAACAGAAGAGAGTTGAATGTTAAATTTTTATTTTTATTTTTTGGCAGTATGTAGGTTTGAACTCCAGATCTCATGCTTGCTTGCTTGCTTGTTTGGCTGGCCTTCTACCAATTCAGCCACACCTCCAGCTGAATATTTTTGGAAATAGAGTCTCATGGACTTTCCTGCCAGGGCTGGCTTGGAACAATGATCCTCAGATTCCAGCCTTCTGAGTAGCTAGGATTGTGGGCATGAACCACTAACACTCAGTTTAAAATGCTTAAAATTCTTATACCTTACAGACTACTTCATATTAGAATAAAATGTACTATAAAGTAAGACAAATATGAAGTTACATTTTGGGGCCATTTTAAAACTGCAAGAAGATAGAGGTTTTGTTTTTAAAAATCTTTAAAAAACTTAAATTTTATCACAGGCTATTTATGTACAGAATATAACTCAGTTTTGGAAAAGTAACTGAACCAGAGAATTAGAGTTGAAATGGAAACATTTTCAAATTAGAATTCATGCTTATTTTATACAGAAGACAATGTTAAACATAAGGAATCTGTTTTATGTAATAAGTAACACTGTTAAAAATAAGTTACTTAGCTTTATGGAAGTTTTACTCTATGCCTTGACAACTTGGAGTATCATGATGCTATAAATAGCAGTCTCAGAACACAATAGCAGGGCTTAAACTGAGGGCCTAGGCACTGTCCTGAGCTTTTTTTGCTCAAGGCTAGTGCTCTACCACTCAAGCCACAGCTCCTCTTTTACTTTCTTGGAAGTTAATTGGAGACAAGAGTCTCACAGACTTTCCCAGCTGAGGTGGCTTCAAACTGTGATCTTCAGATCTCAGCCTCCTGAAAACTAGGATTACAAGAATGAGTCACTGGCACCTGGCCTGAAGTTATTTTTAAATAAATAGAAAACCTGTATTTTTAAGCTAAAAATATGTGTTTATGACTAATATTGTGTGTACATATGTATGTATGTATGTGTGTATACATATACGAACATGTATATGTGTGAGCTGTTGTCTCCCACCTGTGATTCTACCTACTCAGGAGCTGAGAGATGAGAATCACAGTTCCAAGCTAGCTCAGACAGGAAAGCCCATCAGATTCTTATCTCCAATAATCTACTCAGAAAAGGCCAGAAGTGGCACTGTGGGCTAAGAGTGGTAGAGAACTAGCCTTGAGCCAAAGAAGTTCTGGTCCAGTACCTAGGCCCTGAGTTCAAGCCCCAAAAACAGCACAAATTTTTTAAAGTTATTTGAGGCAAGGAAATAGTGTATGTAATATACAATGCTGTATATAATATATAGTATATTATACACAATACATACAAGATTCTACAATTGGAATCTTATTTCCAACAAACTTTAGGATTGAGGCTTTGTCTATTCCCTGTGTCTGCTCTAGACACTGGCTGGTACATAAGGGGCCATATTTGTAATTTCAGCCTCTATAAAACCATAAATCATAAAGGTGACTTTACCTGACGTATTTTAAGGTTGGTTTCCCCATCTAGATTAGCTGTTTCAACATAGCACATTGCCTGAGGTTCACTAAGAAGAGGAACAAAGAAAAAAGGCCAATTTGAATAACATCCTTTCTACAAATTCACAGCTCATGAAATCTCTATGCACAGAAATGGATAGGCAATTCAAATATATTGTCATAAACCACCACTTTAGAAGGTATAATTGATGAGAAAGGAAGATGCACACTCTTCTTCGGCGCCGAACACTAATCCAACATTGCATATCCAAATAATCTACTTTCATGGGCCCACTTAATGGCCATTTGGTCTCAAGCAGATAGAAATGACTTCAATTGGATGAGACAGAGAGGGATGGGTTGACTAAGACCAGTGATGCACCAGCAAAGATCCAGCCACTGCAGGGGTAGGAGGAATTCTCAAAGGCTGAGGCTGGATCTCCATTAGACAGAAAGACCTGCCCAAGGCACACCCACCACAAACTAGTGTTTTGAAGAAAATTACAGCCACCAGAGTTGAAAGATCACCATACATGCTTGGCAAGCCTTAGTGTTCCCAAAATTTGTTGCAATGTCAAAAGATAATTCTTAAATCAAAACATCTAATTTGGGGGAGAGGGGTGTATGCTGGTACCAGAAGTTGAACCCAGGGCCTGGGCATTGTCCTATAGCTTTTCCACTCCAGGCCGGTGTTCTATTACTTGAGTCATACCTCCAATTCCAGCTTTTTGCTAATTAATTGGATATAAGAGTCTCATGGACTTTCCTGCCCAGGTTGGCTTTGAACCATGGTCCTCATATCTTAGCTTGAATAGCTAGGATTATAGGTGTGAGATGCCTGGCTAAAATATCTAATCTCTTTGATTATTCTGTCCTTAAAATTAGCTGTATTAGCCAGTACCAAACAGTTAAAGAGAAAACACAACCATAATTGGTGCTATACCCCTATTTCTGGTTTAAATGGTATAGTTGTAGTGAAGAGAATGAATTCTGAGACCCATTCAATGCATTAAAATCATCTAGTAACTCATGACCTTAGCAAGTCGTTTAATCTCTTGGAGCCCTTGTTTTCTCATGTATGAACAAAGACTATCATGGGTTACTAGAAAGATATGCTATGATGCATTCTACAGACTGTCCAGCATAAATACACATTCAGATACACTGAACATCCTGAAAATCTGATTCAGCTCAGATAAACCATCCCCTATCAAATCCACATGATCTGAGAGTCACAGCCAAGACCAATAGACCAAACTATAAAGTAATTTATATTTGCATATGTCTAAAAGTTTCCTCATTACCAGTAAGTGGGTCAATCATAAATCCCACCTGTGTGTATGATGTTTTTCACCCCTCCATAGGCTTTGGTTCCTATTTGTGTGTGTGCTGGTCCTGGAGTTTGAACTCAGGGCTTGAATACTATGACTGAACAAGGCTAGCACTCTACTACTTGCACCACAGCTCCATTTCCAGCTTAATTGGAAATAAGAGTCTCCTAGACTTTCCTGCACAGGCTTCACAGGCTGGCTTCTAACAGGGATCCTTTGATCTTAGCCTCATGAATAGCTAGGATTACAGGCATGAGCCACTGATGATACCTTTTTCTAGGAGAGAAGATGACACTAAAACTTAGGACAAATACAGGAGAATAAAAACTAAACATCCAGAGGATTGGGATTGGGGGGGAGGAGGGAGGCTGGGAAGGGATGTGAAGGGTAAACAAAGGAGGAGGATGCAATGCTTGGTAAGAAATGTACGCATTATTCTGCCCATGCAATTGTAACCCCTCTGTACAGTATGTTCACAAATAAAATTAAATTAAATTAAAAAAACAAAAACAAAAAACTAAACATCCTCTGCAGGTCTTGTCAGTGCTGTTTATGAGCAGCACTGAGTTGTGCCAGATAGACTGCTGGCTAGACCCATCACGTACTACGCTGAATTACAGATAAACTTCAGCCTGGAGGCTAGTGGACCTTCCCTGCCCTCGACTGTGTTGATGTCCCCATCATTGATGAGAAATCTCCCAGAATAGCCAGGAAACTAAATGAGTCAGTACCTATAGGAAGAGTTAATCCTAGCTACTCAGAATGCTGAGATCTGAGGATCAATTGGAAGCCAGCCTGGACAGAGAAATCTGTGAGACTTTTTGTCTCTAATTAATCACCAAAAAGTCAGAAGTGGAGCTGGCTCAAGTGGTCCAACACTAGCCTTAAGCACAGAAAAGGCTTGGGGACAGCACCCAGGTCCTGACTTAAAGCCCCCAAACCAGCACAACATAGAAAAAAATGAAGAAAGAAGAAAGGAGAAAGAGAAGGAGGAGGAAGAGGAGGAGGAGAAGAAGAAGAAGAAGGAGTAGTTCAGATTAAGTCTAAAAGAAAGAGAGAAAGAAAAGTAAGAGTCAAGGCAAGACAAGGCAATTGACAAAAGTACAGGTTAATTTTCTCTTACCCAAAATGTGTGGCATCAGATATGTTTTAGATTGTTCACTGCTTTCAATTTCAAAAGATTAGCATTAGACAGCTCAACATCCCTAACTGAATCAGAAATCCAGAAGGTTCCAAAATCTGCAACTATCATTAATTAGGAATGTTCAACTTAACAGCTAGAACAAGTAAGGGGAAAAGATTGTAATTCATAGGCTTGAAAGGGGGCAATAAAAAGTCACTCAGGATTTCTGTGGTTGTCACTTAATAGGTTCTTAACACTTATTTCAAGAACTGTGCCCACTAGCACACCTGACCTGGAGGAGAACAGGACCATGTCAGCTGGAAGATACTGGCCATTAAGGACCTTCACGATGTCTCCCACTGCCACCTAGAGACCAGGGGACAGGGACAGAGAGGTAAGAAAGAAAAGAAAGCACAAATGTGATAAAGGCAGTTAAATATGTGAAGGAAAAATTGTGTACACCACAAATCTTTGTCTCCACAATAATAAAAGGAAAAGACTTCAATACATACTAATAACTTATAAGGGGCAGACACCCTCTGAATCCACAGGTTCTACATCCACAGATTCAACCAACTGAGGATTTATCATATTTGGGAGGAAGACCCTACAGAATATGGGCAGACTTTTCAAAGCTACCCCTGACAGGAAAGTCATGCTATTCTTATTTGCAATTAATCGGCCAAAAGCTGAAAGTGCAATTGTGGCTCAAGTTGGTAGAGCACTAGCCTTGAGTGAAAATCCAAGTACCAGCACAAAATAAATAAATTACTGGCTACTAGATCATATCCACCAGCAAGTTTCCAGTTTACTTTTTTGTTGAGGGCTAGACAATTTGCTTAGTATATGTGAAGCCTAGGTTCTATTACCAGCACCACAACCTACACCACACAAAAACAAAAGAACACTAAGGCGGGTTCCTGAAGGTGCCTTATTAGTAGTATGAATTCTGTGAACTGCTTGCCAAAATATGTGAGAAGGTTTTAGGTTTTTTTTGTTTGTTTTGTTTTGATTTTGGTCTGGTACCAGTCTGGGTCTCAGCTTTTTCCACTCAAAACTAGCACTCTATTACTTAAGCCAGAGGTCCATTTCCAGCTTTTGGGTTTTTAATCAAAGATAAATCTCACAGACTTCCTGCCTGGGCTGGTTTTGAACCATGATCCTCAGATCTCAGCCTCCTGAGTAGCTAGGATTACAGACATGAGCCACCAGGCTCCCAGGTAGGGAACCTTTAAGTAATGAGTTTACTATAAAGAAAAAAATAAGTACAAATCAACTTGTAGAACCATTGTGCATTTGATGTTAGGGCACCAATCCAAAGCACAAGTTAGCATCCAATTTAAAGGCAGTAAGTTAAGCATATTCCATAATAAAGACAATACTATATAACTACTTTAGCAACCATCCCTACAAAAATGAGGGATAATTATGCAAGTTGAAAGTGTTTTGAAAAGGGGTTACACTGTCCAAAAAGAAATGTACTCTTTACTTGACTTATTTAACTGTAACCCCTCTGTGTATCACCTTTATGACAACAATTTAAAAAGGAAAAAAGTTAAATGATATATAAAATTTTAAAAATCCTATATGTACACAGAAAAAACAGAAGTAATTAATTTTAAAAAGCTAGAAAGTAGGGGAATAGGGGAAATTATTACTTTCTTTCATACTCAAATACTTTAAAATAAAGAAGCATTTGTAATCTCAATAGCCAAGTACTACTTTGTTTGGGACTCTGTCTGAAGATGGTTTTCTATTTGATGTCTGTAACACATGAGTGTCCCTTGTGTGACACCATCTGGCAGAAATAGTACAATGGTAAAGAAATCTTTTTGTGTGTGTGTGATGCCCTCCTGGGGCTTGAAGTCCAGCCTGGGCACTGTCCCTGAGGGGGTATTTTTCATTTGTTTGTTTTTTCTCAAGACTCTACCACTTGAGCTACAGCTCTACTTCTGGGTTTGTTTTTGTTTTTAATTTTTTATTGTGAAAATACCATACAGAGGGGTTACAATTACATGGGCAAGGTAATGAGTACATTTCTTATCAAGCATTGTTGCCTTCTCCTTTGTTTCCCCTTCCCATCCCTTCCCATCTCCCCACCACCACCACCCCCAAGCCAAAGTTGTAAAGTTCGTTTATCAACATAATGACTTGTACATCTCATTGTTGCAATGGGTCCACCTGTATCCCTATTCAAACGGTTTGTTTTTGCGCTTCCCCTCCATAAATTATACCAACATCAAATACAATGAAAGCAGGAGTTATATCATTGGGGGAGGGACATACAAAGCAATAAAGAAATCATCTTGTAAATATGTTAGAAACAATCGAAAGAAAGAAAAAACATTTGAATACTTACCTTGGGATTCATTTCACCTAACATCAACTTATCTGACCTTTTCTGCTTGTCTCAGACATATACTAGTTGTTTTTTGGTTTTGGTTTTGGGTTTTTTGGTAGTTTGCTAGAGATAAGAGTCTTCTGAGCTTTCCTGAACAGACTAGCTTTGAACTGGTATCCTCAGATCTCCACCAGTGCCTGGCTAAATCTTTTATAAGTGTTTAAACTCACTCTTTCCTCATAGGGTCCTTTGAGTTTCTAAACTGTGAAACAGCTAATGGATCCTCTCAAAGTGGATCAGAGACACTGAAATCTGCCCTAGAGCTGCCTCCCCATCAGCCAGAGCTCAGGGACTCATCTCTTCCTCCTCCAACATTCCCACTCCACTCTGTACCACTTAAGAGTTATGGAGCTCTGGGTGGCTCTCCTGGACACCCTGTTGCAAACAACATCAGCTGAGGAATGTCTGAACTGGAAGCTCTGGATTTAGTGCCCCTCCCAGACAGGCCCAGGCACATGCTTCACCCCTTTGCATGGCTCAGTGGTCGTTCTGCTTATGATGAACTGTTTGTCCCTTTCACCATACCAGTTGCAGTTGCCTCTTCTATGCACCTTTTAGAAACACATATTCTAAGACCTACCCAGACTGACTAAATCAGAAAATCTGGCCAGCTGCAGGCCCCTTATCTGGTACTTGGGCAGCTGCCATAAATCCTAACCAGCCATGATAAAGTCCTGGGCCCACACATCCACACCAAGGTCCCTACCTCCTAGCACCTCGAGCTCCCCCCTCCCCCTCAACCCACGTCCCTCCCCCTGCCTGCACCCACGTTATATGTAGTCATCTCAGAAAAAGACAGGCACCACTTCTCCCTGTGAGAAATGGCCTTGTCAATGCCTTTGCTGGCAATAAACCTTTCTTTCTTTGTTCTACATGCCTGTGTGTCTGTGTGGTTTTTCTGGGTTGGAGCTTACATTCCCCACAACTAGGCAGAAAAACCATCCTTGGTACAATTGTAAAGAGCAGAAGCTATTGGCCATGTTCTGTTACCCCCCACTTTGAGACCAAAACAAAGGAGTACCCTTAAACCTCTGTATTTTAGTAAAAACCTTTTCACCCAAAATAATGAAAATAGACAAAGATAGGATGCATGGGTAAATATGGTCATATTATTCAATGTACAAATCTGAAAATGGAATCAAGGTAATATGAGAGGATAGGTGGAATTGGGATGGATGGAGGAATAACAACAAAAGGGGCCACACTAATCGAGACTCTGTGTACTCATAAACTGACATGTGGAGTTGAAACACCTTTGTACTTAAAGGTAATTGTGTGTGAGAGAGAGAGAGAGAGAGAGAGAGAGAG